CGGCCAGGAGTAATTCCTGAGTGCATGAGCCAGGAGTAACCCCTGTGCAACGCCGGATGTGACCCAAAAAGCAAAAAAAAAAAAAAAATAGCGAAGGATAGATGGGATCAAGCCCTCATGCTGCAATCTGAATTCAAAACCATGCTGACTGATTTATGGCAGGTGTATCCCACTTTAAAGAATGTTGTTGATGGGCAAAGAAAAAAACATGGCATGGTGGGGTGGGAGTGAGAGTTGGGGCCACAATGCCCGCTTCACTCCCAGCACTGTGTGATCCCCCGAAAGACCCCCGTGTACCACCAGCTATGTCCCTAAACCCAGAGCAAAAAAAAAAAAAAGAAAAAAAAACCAAAATAACACCCCAGCAAAATAGCTTTTCCCGCCACATTTAAAATTCTGCCATAGCTTGATAGTTTCTAAATCTGGTTTCAAAGGGATGTTTGATCCCAGCAGCTTCAAAATAGAATAAAATTATTCCCTGGAATTCTTTTATTTTTTTCTGTTTGGGTGCCACATCTGAGCTATGATGCTCAGGGCTTACTCCTGACTTAGCACTCAGGTATCATTCCCGGTGGTGCTCATATGAATAATACGGGATGCTGGGGATCGAACCTGGGTCAGCCACATACAAGGCAAATGCCCTCCCGGCCGTACTAGGATGCCAGTCCTGGACCTCTTATTTGATATATATCAATAGTACATCTGGGAAAGAAGCCAGTGGTTCAGCCAGTGGGAGCAGATGTGGCCCATCATGGAGCGGACTGGGCACTTACTCCTCCTCAGTAGACGTGGATGTGGCAGGCAGCAGAGCTGGGCATCGCGCATGTGGTGCTGCTTTGCGGGGAGGGCGGACTCCGAGCAAACAAAGGTCACTGACATCCAGCGCAGCCCCCTCGGGACAGCGCTGCAGTGCCCCCGAGGAAGCCCAGCCAGCCACAGGCTTTGTCTGGCTAGTTCGAGGTTGTAATCCTGTAGTCTGACGGTAGCCTTCTGTCGGGGCAGAGTCCCCAGTGCTGAGCTGCTGTGGGGCGGGGCTGCGTGCAGGGGGAGGGGAGGAAGTCTGACCCCAGACCTTCTAGGCACGACACCTGCCTCTGGGGACAGTGCCCCCCATGTCCTTGCCCACCCACTCAAAAACCCAAGGCTGCGGTCAGTTTCAAGTTGATGCAGCATCCCCCCCTCCCACACACACACACACCAAGGCACCATCTACTTTTCTCCAACACAGCAGCGAAGAGCCGGGAGGTATGGAGTCGCAGGTCGAGCTCAAGGGGGCAGCAGCAGTTCCTCCTGAGGCCCCGGGGACATCCAGGAGGCGTCCACCCTGGTCTCCAGGGCTTTGCCCATCATCCCAGAGGAGGCCCGGCTGTAGACACAGCACCCCAGTGTCCACCGTCATCCCTTTTCATCTGTGTGTGTGTGTGTGTGTTCATGTTTTACCTGACACAGGACCGGTTAGACTAGACCCCCCTAGGATCCCCCATTCCAGTGTGACCCCATCTTAGCCAACCATCACCCTGTCTCCCAGGCTTACCTGGCTCAGTGGGAGACACATATGAAGAACATACATGTGTGTGTGGTGGTGGTGGGAGAGTGGACACAGTCCTGGGCTTCCTTTCATGTGAATGTGGAAGCAAAAATCTCCTAGTAAGAGGCCTTTGGGGTTTCACCACCTTCACCCCAGCAGAGATGCAGGGGTGTGGGGACCGAGGCAGTGTAGACCAGTGGGGTCACCCTGACACTAGTCGGGCAGGTGGCTGGCTGGGGCGGGAGTGGGGGGAATGTCATAGTCAGGGTACACCTAGGACTTCCTCTGCTTGAGCCTCAGTTGACCATGGGACTCCCAAGTGTGTTGATTAACAAACGCTGTTGGTCATTAACCAAATCCTGCTCTTGAGGTCATTGTGGGACTTGGTTGTCTTCCTGCCCTGGTGGCCGTAGATGGGGGGTCTGGGGGGCTTAACTTCCTGTTTGCGTACAAGGCTGGCGTCATGCTCCCCTCTGCACAGGAGTGGCTGGGGAACCTGCCGTAAGTCTTGTCCATGTCACTGGCCTGTGTGTGGGGTAGAGGGGGCAGCCTGGTGCCCTCCAGCCTCCCACCACCACACACACGGTCCTCACTTTCCACCGAGCCCCTCTGAGCCTCCCGTTCTTCCAACATTCGCTTGTGGTGTTGCTGTCTCCCGAGGCAGGTGGGCAGCTGGGATAGTGCCAAGTTCTCAGCAGTCCCTGATGAATAGAGCCGGGCCTGAGTTCCCGGGGGGAGAGGCCGGCGCTAGGAGCACACGGCCAGAGGGGAGTGAGGCAGGGAGGTAAAGTCCCTGTGTACAGGGGGCGACTCAGGGCTGACTGGGAGAAGGAGGGAGTAGGGGGGGTGAGCAGGGCTGGGAAGAGAGGGATGAAAAAGGGGAGGTCTGCATGGGTGCTGGCTAGGTCAGCCCTGCCTGTCTGTCTATCTGTCTGCCTGTCTGTGCATGCTCTGGATGGAGATGACCACGGTGATGAGTCTGCATTCTCACGAGGACAAGAACCTGGGATCCTTCTAGCGAATCCCTCAGATAGGAGCGGTCGTAGGCATTCCTCTGCAGGAGATCACAGAGAATGGATGGACAGACTGATAGACAGACAGTGCTTGAAGACATCGTTTTGTTTGATGCTTTGTTGATGAGGAAAAAGAAATGGTCTTTAAGACAGCCGCCCAGTTCAGAGAGAGCTGTTTCCTCTCCTAACCCACTTCTGGGCCGATACTTCTCTAGGTTTAAAAAAGTCCTCACATATATTGGAGGGAGAGAGACCGAAGCTAGTCTAAGACTGGTTTTGTTTGTTTGGTTCTGGTTTGGAGGGGCCACACCAGGCAGTACTCAGGGGGTATACTCTCGGTTCTGTGTTTGGGGGTTGTTCTCCTGGTGGTGCTCAGGGAACCATGTGGTGCTGGGGATGAACTCAGGCCTCCCGCCCCCCGAAGAGAAAACACATGCTCAGTCAGTTGAGCTCTCCTGTGCTTAGATTGGCTTTTTTTTTTCTTTTTGGGTCACACCTGGCAATGCACAGGGGTTACTCCTGGCTCTGCACTCAGGAGTTACTCCTGGCGGTGCTCAGGGGACCATATGGGATGCTGGGAATCGAATCTGGGTCGGACGCATGTAAGGCAAACACTCTACCCGCCGTGCCTTTGCTCCAGCCCCTAGATTGGCTTTTGATGCATTTTACATGGTGTCACCTCTGATTTATAATAAAAGAATTGCACATTTGATTTCTTTGTCTTTGGGTCTCACGCCCATGCAATGGAACAGATCCCATGATCATTTTATTTTATTTGGGGTGCCACCGGAGCAGTGTTTGGGAAGTTTTGCGGGTCCAGAGAGCAAATTCAGCTTCTACTCAGTCCTTCAATCTAGCCTCCCAGCCCCTCACTGATCATTTTATAGGTCAGATGCCCATGCCACCCCACCGTGCTCAGGAGTCATGGTCTGCACAGGGCGTTGTAGTTGGGAAAGGCTTCAATAGGACGTGCTCTCGGGGCTGTGTCTGTGCTGAGGACGGCATCGCTGGCCCAAGGCATTGCTGACCCAAGGTGCTCCCTAGGGTCCCCAAGAGCGAACCCAGGTGGCCGCTTGAAAGGCAAGAGCCCCACCCACTGGCCCCTTTCTGGCCCCTCAAGGAGACTCTTCCCTGAAAAGTGTATCCACGGTTCACCCTGTGGCACGCTACTCGGATGTTCTCAAATCCCTGGAGTTGGTCTTGGGTTCTCCCCGTTAAAGGAACTGACAGACCTTTGCTAGAATCAAGAGATTCCATACCGAGAACAGGTCTGCGCCAGCTCCTCGGAAGCATAACTCTCATTTCCAGAATCATCTTTCCGATCTCAAAGACAAGAATGCCTCTGGGCATCCCTGGCCTTCCTTTTCGTTCAGAGGAAAGAGAAACAGCGCTCAGAATATTTACTTTTGCTTCTTTGTTGGGGACCACACCTCGTGGTGCTCAGGGCTGACTTCTGCTCTCGGAGATCGTTCCTAGCAGTGCTGGGGGACCACATGGGATGCCGGGCTGGCTGGGCGCAAGGCAAATGCCCTACCCGCTGTGATCTCTCCAAGGCCAGAAGGTCTGTTTCAGCTACAGGCAGTGCACGTCCCCACTGCTGAAGGTTCTGTCCGTTGCCCCAGACTGGAGGGTATTCCAGACACCACCTGCTCTGATGTTTGAGCAGTGCCAGCATCCAACCTGGGCCTGACCCATGCAAGGCTAGCGCTCTCCTCTGGGCCACATTCCCAGCCTGCTCTGATATTTTTTTCCCCCCGAGGGAGAGAGTCTTCCAGGCAGTGCTCAGGAGGCCCATTGCAAAGGGCTGAGTGCAGGTTTTGCATGCAGGGACCCAGGTTTAATCCCTGGCACCACATCCGCTTGCTATATGGGACACTGCTATGTGTGGTTCCTAAGCTCCGATCAAATAAATGAATAGGAGCCATACTCTTTAGAGACTTCTGTTTTGCTGTTTTTGGGTCACACCTGACCCTGAAAGAGCCTCGAATGTGGCACTTTCTAAAATCTCAGGGCTAGGACGAAGGAGACGTTACTGGTGCCTGCTCGAGGAAATCGATGAACAACAGGATGACAGTGATACAGTGGTACCTAGTGGTGCTCAGGGGTTATTTCTGGCTCTGCACTCAGGAGTCACTCCTGGTGGTGCCCAGGGGACCATATGGGATGCTGGGGATCTAACTCAGGTCAGCTGCATGCCAAGCAAGCGCCCTAACCACTGCACTATCTCTCTGGCCCTTTTCAAGGAACTGTCGTGAGGAAGGTGGTTACTGGCGCAAAGCCGGCCCAGTAGATACTGGGAGTGGAGGCAGAGTGGGAAGAACCTCCCTGGACCCTCCCCTCCCCACTTCCCTTCCTCTTGTCGAAGCTGAGAGGGGAGAAGGGCTGGAGCCTCCTGGGGATGTCTCCTCTTGGCTCTCAGCCACAATTTCGCCTGGAGGGAGGTTCCTGGGCCTCTCGACTCAGGCCTGGGAGTCCTTGGGCTCCTCGGGAGGGAGCTTCGTCAGCTTATCCACGCACAGCAGGATGAGGGTGAGGAACCAGAGACTCCAGCCCACGGCCGCCGCGATCCAGCCGTACTCATCCACGCCCGCCTGGCAGCAGCGGGCGGCTTGAGGGCAGAAGTCGACATCTGGGGTGGGTGGGGGGAGAGAGCCAGGATTCAGGATGTAGCTCCCCACCCCCCGGCTGCCCCACTCCTGCACCCCCAGCTCACCTTCCCCTCCCCTCAGCACCAGGCCCTCTGCCGAGAATTTCCTTATTATTCCTCCTGACCCATCCTGGCCCTTCCTTCCCCTGTTTGGGGCAGAGGCTGCGACTTGCTCAAGGTCAGGGGGGCCCCCAGCACCGAACCCGGGTCTCGTATTCCCAAAGCCGTGTTCTTAACGCTGCCTACAAGGGCTTATTACCTTCTGTTGTCACTGTCCTCCCGTTGTTCATCGATTTGCTCGAGCGGGCCCAGTAATGTCTCCATTTTTTTGAGACTCGTTGTTACTGTGTTTGGCATATCAAATACGTCACGGGGAGCTTGCCAGGCTCTGCCGTGCGGGCGAGATACTCTCGGTAGCTTGCCGGGCTCTCCGAGAGGGGCAGAGGAATCAAACCCGGCTCGGCTGGGCTGGCTGCGTGCAAGGCAAACACCCTACCGCTGTGCTATCGCTCCAGCCCTTCTGTTAAAAAAAAAATAATAATAATAATGGGGGGTGGGGGCCCGGAGAGGAGGAGGCCCCACAGAATCCATCATGCTAAGCCCCACCCAGACTTAATACCTAACTTATTACCATTTTCTCCTCTCCCTCCCAGGCATGGAATTTTAAGCCAATCAGTCTGGAATTTCTTGATCAAATGAGCTGATCCAGGTAACCTGACCAGAACCCAACCCTCGGTATCCCTGACCCCTGACAGGAGAAAGCCTTGCCTGAAACACATGTCTGTGGACTCGGCACCTAGAAAAGACCTTCTACCTGGGGCAGGGCCTGGGAGCACACTTCCCATGAGGCAGGACACAGCCTGATTCACGAGCTGCTCGGAAATAGATTCCAGTTGGACTTGGACGGATCTCAACGTTTCCTTTGTAAGAGTCCAGAAGAAAACACGTTTGGGTATTCAGTGAGGGCAGGTTGAAAGCCGGCCAGCGCGAAGGGCCAGGCCTTCTCTTAATGGGTCTTGTGTGGCTGCGGTTGCTTTCGGTTCTGTTTGTTTGGTTTCTTTACTTTTTTTTTGTTTTTGTTTTTGTTTTTTTGGCTTTTTGGGTCCCATCCAGCAATGCTCAGGGCTTACTCCTGGCTCTGCACTTAGGCATTACTCCTATTGGCACTTGGGTGGGACCCTACTGGATGCCGGGGATTGAACCTGGGTCGGCTGCGTGCAAGGCAGAGGTCCTCCCCACTGTGTCATTGCTACGCAGTTGCTTTCTGAAATACAGCCCCGTGGGCTGGGTGACGGGGTTCAGGTCGTGAAGCAACAGACCTATGTCAAAGGCAGGACAGCAAAACTCCTGGGGCGAGGCAGACATGGGGCAGTGGGGGTCTAATTCCACCTCTTCCGGAGGCAGTTGTTTATCTGTTAGGGTTGGGGGCCACACCCATTGGAGTCACACTGCTGACTCTGTTCTCAGGCATCACTCCTGGACGGGAGCAGGGATGGAATCTGACAAGCCCCTGAGTTGCCAGGACTATTTCTCCAGCCCTAGAAACATTTGAACACAGGTGAGCCTATGGCTGCAGTTGGGGCATTAAAGCCCCGTGCACCAAAAAAGTGAGCCTCTCCTGGGCCCAGGTGCCGACAACTACCCCCCTACCCCCCGACAGCGAACAAAGAGCCTTGAGTTTCCCTCTGGAATCCAAGGCAGCCCGGGGCCGGGGGCCACAGGCAGAGGCTTACTGGGGCACTGGTCCAGGCTGTCAGGGTCTGGGTGCTGGGTGGTCAGCGCTGAGTGGTTGCTGTTGCTTGCTTCTGGAAGAAAAGACAGAAAGTCATCCCAAGGGGCCGGAGCCGGAGTACAGCAGGTAGTCTGACTGGGTGTGATCATCCATCCCGCCTGGTCCCCGGAGCACAACCAGGAGTGTTTCCTGAGCATTGCTGAATGTGCCCCTCCACCCCCCCCCGCCAACTCTCTCTCTCTCTCTCTCTCTCTCTCTCTCTCTCTCTCTCTCTCTCTCTCTCTCTCACACACACACACACACACACACAATCATTTTAGGCAGCAGAAAAAAAATCTACTCTCACGTATAAAGTTTAGAACTTTTTGGTTTGTTTTGGGGCCACGCCCAGTGGTGCTGAGGGTTTATTCCTGGAGGTGCTCAGGGGTCAGTCCTGGCGGCGGGGTTCAGGGGACCATCTATGTGCCAGGGATTGAACTTGGTTGGGTGTGAGCAAGGCAAGTGTCTTACCGGTTGAAATATCTTTCTGGTCAAAGGTTAAGTGTGTGTGTGTGTGTGTGTGTGTGTGTGTGTGTGTGTCTGAGAGAGAGAGAGAGAGAGAGAGAGAGAGAGAGAGAGAGAGAGAGAGAGTTTGTGTGTGTCTAGTAGATCAGTAGTGAATATTATGAAAGTCGAGAAACTCCAGTCTGGGAACAATGAATTTTTTTCCCCCTTTGTTCTTCGGGCTCCTGTCTCTGTGCTCAGGGGACCGTGTACTGTGTCTTGCCCACCGTGCTGTCTCTCTGGCCCCTCAGTCTGCTTCTCGGGAGCAAAAACAAAGCAAACCCCAGCCAAGCGTTCTCAGAGCCCTTCCCTGTCTGGCTCAGCCCGTCCTCCACTGGGCCGGTCCCGTCTCCCTCCCCGGAGGAGGTGGGGGAAACTTCTTGCTTCACACAAACCGTGAAATTGCTGCTCAGGCTGATTTTATGCCTCCCGCCCCCAGAGCACTCCTGCTCACTGTCTGGAAGTGACCGGGCACACGCTGTTGCCGCGGTCACTCATTGACAGCTCGCTGGCTTGGAACTCGCTCTTTGTTTTGGAGAAATCCGTCCCTCAACATTTCCATGTCTCCTGCGACCCAAATAACTTGCGTGGTCCCAACTTTCACCTCTGTCCTGGAAGTGGTCCACGGCAAGTAAGTGGGAGAAAACCCAGTACACTGGGGGCTGGAGAGACAGTGCAGGGGGAGAGTGGTTGCCCTGCATGTGGTTAAATCCGGCTCAGTCCTCAGGGCCACATACGGAACCCTGAGCACCGCCAAGGATAGACCACCCCTGCCTCAAGAAGGAACCCCAGCAAACCTGGAGAATGGGAGGCCAGGGTCAACGGAAACTAGAGCAAACAAGTCATTTCCAGAGGTTGAAAATGGTTCTGCCTCAGGTTCTAGATAGTTCCACAGGATAAAAGACTTGTTCTAATTTCCTAGGATTTGTGGGCTTCCTAAGGCAGTGCTCAGGATTTCAGGGGCTGGCCCTCAGTAACACTCAGCCGACTGGGCCAGTGATTCAGGACCAGGACTCAAGGAGGTGTGGGGAGGATCAAACTCAGGAGTGCTGTACTCTCTCTCTCTGTCTCTTTCTCTCTGTCTCTGTCTCTGTCTCTGTCTCTGTCTCTCTCTCTCTCTCTCTCTCTCTCTCTCACTCTTTTCTCCCCCCCCCCTTGACCAAATAAAAGATTTTAGGGGCTGGAGAGATACTACAGGGGGTAAGACCTTGTGCCTGGTTTGATCCTCAACACCACAGATGGTCCTCTGAGCACCACCAGGGGCCACTCCTGAGCAGAGAGCCAAGAATAGCCCCTAGTAGAGTCAGCCAGGGCTTGGCCCTACGGTGGTAGGTGGCGGGTTGCTTCCCAATCACCTGGGACACCCATTTTAGGCCCTGCCCTTCACAGGCCAGCCGGATAACCAGGAAGGAGGAGGACACTGATCCGGGGAGCGGGGGTTGGAAACCGGAGACAGTTATGCTCACTCTCATGGTTTCCCACGAGCTGTCGTCTTTAGAAGTCTTTCTTTTTTGTTTTGTTTGTGTGGGGCCATACCCAATGGTGCTCAGGGGTCACTCCTGGTTCTGCACTCATGAATTACTCTTGGTGTGTGCAGGGGACCCTATGGGAGGCCGGGGATGGAACCCAGGTCTGTATAACCTCTCTGGCTCTCTTTCTAGGTCTAATCTGTTTTCATCTTTCCCCAATCTTAACCACGATCACGGTGATTATCCCTTCCTTATAAATGAGGAACTCAGGGAGGGTGAGGAATCTGCCCAAGGCCGAAGGCTGCCCAAGCTGCTCAGCGGAGTTGAGCTGAACTCAGTGGCTTGTAGTGGGGTGGGGTGGGGTGGGGTCAGGGGTGTTCCTGGGAGCCTCAGGATGAGCTGACACAGAGACGATGGCGGGGGTTGGGGGGGCGGTGAGTTTGCTGAGGACCAACTTGGAGAATCTGGCAGATTGTAGGGTAGTTTGTATTGTAGGCGGAGCAAGAGGAAGGCTGCACAGAGACCCCAAAGAAGTTGAGGTGAAGCTGAGCTCCCTGTGCCAGGAGGTGAGAAGAGGCCCAGGAGAGCGAGGCAGGGCCAAGAAGCCCCCAGACAGCCCTCTGCAGCAACAAGGCAGCCTCCTGCCGTCTGGGGCACAGGGCCAGGGAAGGGCAGCCTCGATGAATCTGTTTTGGTTTCTGAGCCACACCCGGTGCTCAGGGCTCAGTCCTGGCGGGGCCCAGGGGGCCCTATGGGGTGCTGGGGATGCAGGGCAAGCACTCTGCCCACTGTACTATGCCTAGGGCAGCCTTTTCAAGGTTCAGTGAGAGTTTCCTGGGGAGCGAGGGACCTACAGGGACTGGGGAGGGGCTCAGCGGGTGGGTGGGTGCATTTAGTGGGTTGCTAGTTCGAAGCCCTGGGGTGCTGGGAAGGAAAGAGATGCAGCCGTTTCTGGCCATTTTACCCCCAAAGACGGGGGCCCTTTGTTACTCCACAACACACAGAAGAGTGGTGTCTACAGTCTGGGGGGTCGTCTTAAGTCAATGTAGGCCCCTCGCGCCCCCCAGTCCACACCCACCCAGGCTAATCCTTCAGAGGAGGAAGCGGACTTTCCTCTTTTCCTAGTGCAGAACCCTCCTCCTCCTCCTCCTCCTCCTCCCTTTCCTCCTCCCTCCCTTCCTCCCTCCCTCCTTCCCCCTCCCTGTCCCCTGGGCGCCCAGGCTCAGAGTTCTACCTGCAGAGCCAGCGGGCTGGAAGGAGGCAAAGACCAAGCCGAGGAGCAGGGCTGCCCAGGGGGCAGAGGTGAGGCGCCCTGAGCGGCAGAGGGAGGCAGGTACGTGCCCCATGCCTGCAGGGGTGCGGGGGTGCGGGGTGCCAGGCGTCCCGTCCCGGGTCCGGCGTGCGCTGCGTCCGCAGGAGCTCAGAGGTCTGGGGGTGCCAGGCGTCCCGGGGTCCCCCGCACTGGTGCGCGCGGCGTGCTCAGCGGCCAGGTGAAGGAGCGCCTGCTGCCGTTTGGGGGGACGGCGGGGGCGGAGCCTGTCACACCTGCGCGCGGGGCGGTCGCATTCCCTCCCTGCGCAGAGGGTGCCCGGCGCTAGGCAGAGGCGTGGAACGTGCGTGCGGGGTGCGGGGAACTCCGACGACTGAACACCTGCCCTCCGGGTGGTTTTCAGGACAAACAAATCATGAGAACGTAGAGCTGCGACCTCAGAGGGGCCCAGGAGCACACGGGGCCGGCGCCCGCAGCCACAGGCTTTCTAGAAGGGGCGGCCGCGGGGACGTGGACGTGCGCCCCGAGGGACAGACGGAGAGAGAGACGGACGGGAGGATGGAGGGAGGGTGGAGGAACGGATGGAAGGAAAGAGGGAGGGAGGGATGGGTGGTTGGATGGGTGGAGGAGGGAGGGAGGGAAGGATAGAGGGATGGATGAATGGTGGATGGATGAATGGATGGAGGGATGGGAGGATGGACGATTGGTGGAGGGAGGGATGGATGGTGGAGAGGAGGGATGGGTGGATGGTGGAGGGAGGGAAGGATAGATGGATGGTGGAGGGAGGAATAGATGGATGGATGGTGGAGGGAGGGAGGAATGGATGGATGGAGGGATGGAGGGATGGGTGGATGGATGAATGGTGGATGGATGAATGGATGGAGGGATGGGTGGATGGGTGAATGGTGGAGGGAAGGATGGATGGCGGAGAGGAGGGATGGATGGATGGTGGAGGGAGAAATAGATGGACGAATGGTGGAAGGAGGGAGTGATAGGTGGATGGATGATGGAGGGAGGGATGGAAGGGCTTTGGGTAGGCAGGCAGAGAGGAGAGGGGAGAGGGGGCAGGGGTGCTCAGTGTCCACTGTATCTGGGCTCCACTAAGTGCTGAGAATGAAGGTGCCCGTGGCTGTCGTATCAGACTCAGTATTTGCAGTACTCAATCGGGGGCAGCAGGAGGATGAAACTGGGACTAGAGGTGACAAGGGACTGTGATGGAGGGTTTGGGTCACTTTGGTGATGGGGGAACATCCACACCATAAATTTCAACACCATTGTAACCATGCAGCTTAAACTTTGATTTAAAACTTAATAAATTAAATGCTGGAGCCATAGTATAGCAGGGAGGGCGCTTGGCTTGCATGCTGTTGTTGGGGTTCAACCCCTGGAATCCCGTATGGTCCCTTGAGCCTGTCAGGAGTGATCCCTGAGCACTGCTGGGTATGGCTCCAAACCCAAAAAATAAAATATTTGGAGGCCAAAGGGATGTTGAGAAAGCTTGCTTCTTTCTTTCTTTCTTTCTTTCTTTCTTTCTTTCTTTCTTTCTTTCTTTCCTTCCTTCTTTCTTTCTTTCTTTCTTTCTTTCTTTTTCTCTTTCCTTCCTTCCTTCCTTTCTCCTTTCCTTCCTTCCTCCTTCCCTCCTTCCTTCCTTCCTTCCTTCCTCTCTCTTTCTTTCTTTCTTTCTTTCTTTCTTTCTTTCTTTCTTTCTTTCTTCTTCCTCCCTCCCTCTTTCTTTCTTTCTTTCTTTCTTTCTTTCTTTCCTTCCTTCTTTCTTTCTTTCTTTCTTTTTCTCTTTCCTTCCTTCCTTCCTTTCTCCTTTCCTTCCTTCCTCCTTCCCTCCTTCCTTCCTTCCTTCCTTCCTCTTTCTTTCTTTCTTTCTTTCTTTCTTTCTTTCTTTCTTTCTTCTTCCTCCCTCCCTCTTTCTTTCTTTCTTTCTTCCTTCCTTTCTTTCTTTCTTTCTTTCTTTCTTTCTTTCTTTCAGAGCAGGAGCACAATGAGGAGTGCTCAGGGGTTGATCCTGGCTCTGCACTCGGGGATCACTCCTGGTGGCCTCAGGGTACCACGTAGGGTGCCAGGGATTGAACCCATGTTGACCACATGCAAGGCAAGTGCCCTCCCACTGTACCCTCCCTCTCTGACCCAGTGAGGAGCTTTAGAACTGAGCAGAAACCTGCCTCGGCGTCCCCTCCATTTAGGGGAGAGACGCCAAGTAACTCAGACCTCCTCTTGCTCTCTAGCCCCACCCTGTCCATCCATACACAGAAAAGCCCAAATGGTAGCATACGTGATCTGACCTACACAGGGGGTTTCGTCCCCGTGATGCTGGGGGTGGGGTGGGGGCTCAGGTGGGGCCTGCAGAGAATTTGCAGGAGATGGCCATTTGGGCTGGGTATTGAAGTCAGCTCCTGTCTCCCAAGGGCCCCTCCAGAAAGGCCACAACCCGCGGGAGGGCAAGGGAATTGTCCACACACGGGCAGCTCCTGTGCTCTGCGCCTCTGAGCGTGTCGGAGGCCTGCACTGGTGGAGGGGGCATCTAAATCACCCCAGACACCTGAAAGGATGTAAAGCCAGTATCACCCAGAGCTGGGATGCCACCTTGGCATGAGCCCAGAATAGGCTCTTTCTATTTTTCTCTCCTAATTTGCTTAAACATATACATTAGCGCTGAGCCTAAATTCTTGGATTTGGGGGTTGGGGAAAATGTGCATTGGGAAGGTGACTTTTCAGAAGGTGCCTCTAAAGTCCAGTTTAGACTGACTTGCTACCTGGCTGCCCATTTACTCATGTGTGAGCAGTCACTGGATGCTGGACCCGGGAATAGGGGAGACTGGAGGCGGGTAAGGCCTCGTCCTTGATGGCAGGTGGGTGGCAGGCAGGGAGAGAGACTCAGAAACAGCAAGAGCACAGTGAAATCCGTGCGGTGGGTGGTCTCTGCGAAGATCAGAGGACCTTGCAGGAGGGACAGGTTGGAGGGCAATGACCACTTCACAGGTTCTGTGGGCCCCAGGTTCTGAGCCCTGAAGAGGGGCTCCTGGCTTGGGGAGTAGTTACTGTCGTGGGGCAGCAGGGGGCGTCCCAGCCTGGCTCGTCAGAGTAAAAATAGAGGGTGGAGGTCTCGCACACCAGACGGGGGACCCCAGGTTGGACTTTGTGATGGAGAACTAGGCCTGTGGATTTCAGACACATGGGGGACAGGTCGCTGGGGGTGAGGGGGATGGGCCTGGATTCAGAGAGACCTTCTCAGAAGACGGACTCCAGAGGAAGAGAGGCTGAGGCTGGAAAGAGTCTGGGGGTGGGTAAAAAGGTGAGAACTGCACACGGGGGTCCAGGCTAGACCTGCTGCTCGCTGGGCTGAGGGGATGACCACGGGGTGAGTCAGGGAAAGAGTCCTGCCTCGTAGGGGCGGAGTGTCCCTGAACCCTTCTTTGCTCCTTTAAGTCTCACATTCTGCATCTGTGGTGTAGGTTTTTGTGACACCAAATGTTGAACCCAGGAATGAACACACACACACACACACACACACACACACACACACACACACACAGAGCAAATGCTCCATCACTGAGCTGCTGCACTGGCCCATGCTGACCCTGCTGGCCTATGCCCGGCCTCTGAGAAGGAGCAGAGGAGTAGCACTGCCTGAAGGGTTGTGATAATGACTCAGTGAAGTTAGGATGGCAGGGAGTTGGTGCCACCCTCCTTCCACCTCAATCTCTCTCTCTCTCTCTCTCTCTCTCTCTCTCTCTCTCTCTCTCTCTCTCTCTCTCACACACACACACACACACACTTGCACTCGCTCTCTCCCCCTCAGTACTCAGGAATCAATAACTGCTGCTTCAAGAGAAGAGTCACCAACCATAAAGAAAAAATATGGAAGAAAAGAAAGCATTTGGGGAAAAAATAATACTATGTGTGCATTGTCTTATTAATATCCTGCCTTAGTCCAAAAAAGATTTCAGGAGGCTTATATCCAATTAATTAAGGTAAAAAAAAATGAAGAGGGGCTCACACCTGATGGCACTCAAGGGTAATTCCTGCTCTGCTTGGAGGGCATCTGCAGTGCCAGGACCCAACTGGGGCTGACCACATGCAAGGCAAGTGCCTTGACCTATGTACCATCTCTGCCGCCAGCCATCACCAACAGGGTTTCAAGTAATTATTTTTGGGTTTTTTTTTTTGGGGGGGGGCATGCTGGTATGGCTCAGGGCTTCCTCATGGCTCAGTGCTCAGGAATCACTTCTGAGAGTGCTCAGGGAACTGTATGTGGTTCTGGGGATCAGACTGGGATCAACCGTTTGCAAAGGTACCATTTGCCTTAACCCCTGAACTATCTCTCTGGCCCACACCAGCCCTTTTGAAAGCAAAACAAGAGCTGATTTTTCCCTGGGCCTCCTTGCAAGCCTAATTGTTCTTTGTTGGACGAATACGGCTCTTGGCATCGAGACCAGGACTGATCTCTCCAAGGGGCCCAGGAGATAACAGCAGGGGGGTGTCTATGAATTTTTCAGTGGTCTCCCAAAAAATGTGTATAGGCTGGACATGTAGATCAGGGATAGAGCATTTGCCGTGTGTGTGTGTGTGTGTGTGTGTGTGTGTGGCTTTGGGATTGATCCCTGGCACCACAAAAAATAAAGTTTGAGATGTGAAAACAGACCCAACAATCTGAACCACCACCACCAAACCTCTGTGCCGTCGAAGGAAATGAAAATATAGACCTATGTCCACTCTAACCAGTTACACAGACACTCTTTTTATTTTGGCGAAGCAAGGTAGGTTTTTTTTTTTTTGTAGGAGTACTGCTATTTATTCAGCCACTGATTAGCTGATTTACTTGGGCATGAACTCCACCTTAATTTTTAAAAAATTTTATTTATTTTTTTATTTTTATATTTACTTATTGAATCACTGTGGGAAAAGTTACTAAGCTTTCAGGTTTAAGTCTCGGTCATACAATGATCAAACACCTTTCCCTTCACCAGTACTCATTTTTCACCACCAAGAACCCCAGTATACCCGCCTCCCACCCCTCCCAATGCCTGTGAGGCAGATGATTTCCACTTAACTCTTCTCTACATT